TCTTTCTCCCCCCTCCCCCCATAGAAACCTGCCAGTTTGGGGGTGAAAATATTTTATTCATAAATATGAATAAGGTAACTGAAGAATTAATTATCTTTTAAGATATGTTTGATGTGGTTTTTCTCAATGCGATCACTCAGAGCTTTGGGAAACAATTTTATCTGTAGCTATTGGCTCTATTTGAGTTAATTTTTAAAAATATGTTTTGTTGGTTGCTTTCATGATTATATTCCATACATTTGAATTAGTATGTAAGAGTACAATTCACTCTGGTTATATCATATAAGAATGTCACTGTCTCAATAAATCATTGTTGGATTGAAGTAAAATGATACTTCAGACAAGTGTCACGTCATGACTAAGATTGTGGTGAAACTAAGTATTTTCCCTAGTTATGTTCTCTGTTACATGCTACTTTCATTTATTAACATAAGCACAACTGAATAGAAGAACCTGGAAGAGAGGCCTAATTATCAAGCCCCTTTATTCTATGCCTGGCTTGTGAAATAATTTATCCACCAGCCTGGAAGTTTCATGTGAACAAAAGCACTCACTAAATGTGAAAGTTTAGATGAAACACAAATGTATTTATTGAAGTTATTTTTTGGCTTGGTGTACTAAGGCCCCAAAATAAGCATGGAGGGATTAATATTTATTGTATCTAATTTATTACAGGTTCAGCATTAAGCTCTTTATGCAGATTATTTTACTTAATTCTTCTAATAACTCCATGGAGGAGACATTATTATCTCTAATATGCAGAAAAGGAAACTGAGAATCAGGGAAATTAAATGACTTCCCAAAGTCATGCATATGGTGAATATGAGTGATAGCCCGGTCTCTTTAACTTCAAGCCTGGGACTCTTGCACTATATCAGATTAGAATTCCCATAGAACTATATTTATAATGATTGTATTTAGGTACTCAACACAATGGTGACTCTAGTAAATGGCCTTGGATCTGCTGAGTTTCTTTGCAGCTTCTCAGGAGACATAGGTGATCAGAAGCTTGAAGGTTGAATTCTTAGGTCACTTCAGGGACAAATCTGAAGACAGCTCACAGCAGAAAGCAGGATGGGGAACCTACTAGAATCTTCTCACATATACTCAGGGAAGGAACTGTGAAATCCACTGAAGAGCTAGTAGTGCTGGGGGTCCAACTTGTAAACAAAATTAAGGAGTAGAAGAATGGAGTGGATTCAGAGAAGGACTTATTCTTAGACTGCTCAAGTTTAAAAATATCTCGGCGAAAGGAATTTTAAATCCTTTCATGGTGTACGGACTACCCATGGGTGGGAATGAGGGGTGGGAAATGCTCCCAAGCTCACCTGAGCCCTGGGCTATGGGTCTGGACCTGGCAGCACGTGTGAAGTTTATTTCCACCAGCTCAGCTTCTACTGATAACCAACAGAAGAGTGGTGAGGAAAAGAACTGATGGCAAAGCAGTTGAAATGGATATGGTGACAAGGCCTGGAGAGGAAAATGGACACTGACAATGCACAGATGTGGTAAAGCTGTGGAGTTCTTGTCCTGTCTCAGAGAAAAGGCCTAGCTGAGGCCATGCAGTTTTAAGTAGTGAAAATGTTGAAAGCTGTGTCCGAAAGAATTTAAATAACCATTGTGCTAGTTAAGATGAGTGCTGCTTCTCAGGGAACCTGATCTTTTGACTCTGTTTTGTTGTTGCTTCCAGAAGGAAAAGAAGGGGAGAAAATGTAGCCACTGTAATAAGACCTCTGTCCTTTTAAGCAACTTATACTAGTGCCTCAGTATTTTCTGGGCATTCCTTCTTTCCTATGTGTGTGTGTCATCTTAGTAATCAGTAAATTTCATTAAAGGAGCAGCAATTCTTGAAGTTGCCTTAACACTACTCTTGGTAAAAGGTGGACATACTTTTGAAATGTCCTGTACATTCTTCATCCCTCTAAATCAGGAGAATTGTGGTATAAAGAATATTTGACTGGTTTCAGGACTGACAGAAAAGGTACTTACTATAAAATTTGCTGTTGACCCTGACTGGTTAAGAACAAAGGAAATGTCTTCAGGAAAGAGCTTGTTTCTCTGCAACACTGATGTAATTATAAGTCATATTAACCACGGCCTCTCATCATCAACTACGTACTTGTTTTTTCTCCATTTGACTCAGCAGCCATTGCCATTCACATTTAAGACTCCCAGCATAGAAGAAAAACTGGCTTTGGAAAATCTGTGTGTTAAGGCCAGGCAGGGAGAAGCCTTGTGGAGGGAGGTCTGTAGGATTACTGAGACAATAGGTTAGCACAATGCACTTATTATAAGGAATTCACAAGCGTTAAGTCAAAAACATTCTTGATTCTTAGGCAGCTCTGGGCGTATTTCCATCATCAAATTAAGCTACATATCAGTGCAACTTGAGTCAAACTACTTTTATTCATTAAACCCCAAGAAGTTCAAGGCCGTAAAGGAGAAGTCCCAGTCATCATGCTACTAGTGTTCAAGTCCCAGTCTGTATTGCAAAGGAAGAGTTTGCCCTTTCTGTGTTGACAGAGACACTGGGTAGGTATTTGAAATCAAGCATGCTGCTAAAGGAGGGAGTGTGTTTGGGGTGGTTCTGCACACCGGTAGTCTCTGGCTTAGGCATTTGGACTTACCTAAGTCCCTTTCACCTGAGGACTTCACCTGAGGATTTGCTAACAAATCTTCTAGATGCCTCTCATGCAGGATTCCTTTCTCAGCTTCCTCTTCTGTCCCCACCTTCCGCCATATCTAGCTGCTTCTCTAACCTCAGCAGTGATGTGCGTGCCACACTCCCTACACTCACTGTATATCCCGAGTAGTTCTACCTTCTACTGCAGCCCCATCTCTGACACGCCTGCTGCCCTTGCTTGTGCTCCCTACAGCATCCCACATTGTCCTGCAGTTCCTGTGACATGCAGATTCAGAAATTCATGGTGCTTAGCTTTCTTTGAAACATACGGACGTTTTACAGTACTTCAATCTTTAGAGTAACCTGTAGCCCCACCCCAGGCAATGTGATGTAATTGGTCTGAAATGGGACCTGGGATAATAAGTCGTATTCTTGAAAAACTCCCCAAGTGATTCTGATTCAGATAGACACACACCAACGTTACTGCTGAATGCGTTTGACTTTTGCTAGAATTTAAGGTGAGGGGGTTGGGAAGTGGTACACATAGAGGGAACTTTTTAGTTTGATTTTTTTCTCTCAATGATAGTACTTAATATTTAGTAATAATACCTTAATACTGAGAATATTTTAAAAAGAAAAATGAATATTAACGATTTTAATGATGAAGGGCAACATTTTTCAAAGTTTTACATGCATACCAGCCCCCCTTCCCTACCTAGCTAAAGTGCAGATGCTGCTTCAGAAGGTTTGAGGGGGGACTGTGAAAGTTCTGCCTTTCTAAAGTCTCCCAGATAAAGATGCTGTTTTCACTGGCACCACACTTTGAGTAGCAAGGCCATACAGGGCAGTGGAAGAAGGGAAGCTTAGTCAGGAGAAATACGTAGTTATTGTGAAAAGAGAAGTAGGCAGATCATGACCAAGGAGCCCCTGAATAAAAGTGACAGGAACCCACTGAGACGAAAAGTTGACTAAGGGTTTGTGGAAAATCCCACAGTTAACTGTTGACTTTCTGTGTCTTTCT